AGAAAAGGCAAAGTTCATCAGAATATTTTGTAGAACAGCTAGAGGAGACTCTTCTCCCTTGCAGAAACTGTGTAGCTCTGCATAAATAAATAAGAAGCAGAGGCATAAAGTGGAAATAGAGGAGTACTCAGTGGTGAGAACACTCTCTAGGAATTCCTAAGTTTTTATGGCATGGTCTTTGCATCAAAGTCAGTAAATAAAAGTCAGTAAATAAAAAAACCAGAAGAGAATCAATTTTTAAAGTTTTACTGTACTTAAGGCACATACTAAACTCTTATTCTTTAATATACAGCAGAGCAGAAGCATTAATTAACACAAAAACTGGCACAGCTGCTTCTCTTATATCTTTGACTTGTCAACATCCAGAAAATTCAAAGGGAAACTCTAGGTTGGTTACTTGCAGATTTTTTGCTCTGGGATAAATTACATTTAGCTGCTAGCAGAAAAATATCTGTGCCAAGTGGAACAGTGTTGTGAAATAACGGGAAGTCAGTGGAAAGACAATAAAGCTATTATGATTTTGTGGAAGGGTTCTGTATGGATAAAATATGGCCTATGTATAGACATTTTTTTAAAATGCATGTTGCATTTTTGTTCTTTGTTTATAGTACTATGACTGATTTAAATTAATGTTGACAACATGAAGACAATTTATTCAGGCTTATATGGAGTTTTGTTCAGCTGCCAACTTGTCTTCTTTTTCTTCCTAAAAAAGAATTTACCTTGAAGTACACTCCCTAATACTTTCCTTTAGAGACATTCAAAAGGAAAAAGAGATACTGATTTTTAAGACTATTGCAACAGATACCTTTAAACAAGGTACTATTTTTTAGTGTATTGCTGCATACTGGTGGCTTCTTGACTTTGGCTATTATCTTTTTCAGGCTTAAATACACTTATACTAAATGCAGTAATAGATTGATTAGTAAAATTTCAGCAAGGTTGATTATGCATAGCTCACAGGTTGGATTTACTATTCAAAAAGTATTTGATCTATTACAGGTTAAATGCACTCCATAGGTGTTAGTTTAAAAAGAAAAACCCAAAACCAGCAAGAAAAGATACAACCAAAAGAGCAAAACAACAAAAAACCAAACCTAAATCAGGGTTTTTAAGTTATACTAGTGTATTTCCATCCACTGCTTTTACATGAATTCAAGTTTACCCAGGTGCACTAAATTGCAGTAACAAAGTTTGGTTTTCTTCATATTGATATTGATACCCAGAGCAACATCAATGAGAAAATCAGCAGAAATCAATCCCTAATCTAACTGTTTAAGAACTCCACTGTGATTTCTGTCCCGCCTAATTTTTCCCCAGACAGCACTACTCCTTCAGAATTCTCCTGAAGATACTTATTTACAAACTCTGGCCCAGTGCCCATATTCCTTTTTGTGGAACACTATTATGTGTGTTAATGAGGTCCAGAGAGTTTATATTAATAGCTGGAAGGGAGAGCCTGGAATGTTTGTTATCATGTCAAAGACACTTTTGGATCAGTTCCCCATGTGTCTTTAAAGCCCATTTCCCTGTGGCCTTCATCCTTTCTTTCAAAATATATTCTATTACCCAAAATGCAGTTTCTTCTTAAATATAGATATTTAAATTAATTTCTTTCCTAAACTGTTTTCTAAAGTGTCTATCAAGCACAAATGCAGATATTTCTCATATTTGACAAGATCTTAAGAATCTGGTGACAGCATTCATACTTCTCAGAGGTAAATTCTTGTTGTAAAGACAATGACTGTAGGGAATTATTGTACCATAGCTAAAAGTAGTTTTATTTAAGTCCTGCAAAAAGTAATTCATTTAAATCCTGCAAAAAGTAATAGGAACCACTATAGCTGTGGAAGATTTCATTAGGTTTGAAACAATATATTTGAGATCATGTGAGCTTAAGAAATGTTCTCAAGAGAGTTTCATAAGACATGTAATAAAATCACAAGTGTTGGGAACAACCTCGGTCTATTTCATAGCCTCTAGATAAATATGAACAGATGTCAATAGCATAATTGATTTTTTGGAACTTAATTTCCTAATGAATAATTTTGAGAATCAGAATTAGACACATACCACTTAAAATGTAATTGATTTTTTAAACAATTCAAAAATTCTTTAAAGGATTTTCCCCTCTGAGGTTTCTCCAATTATATTTTCATGTTCAGAAATACTTCATTTTTTTAATATAGTCACCTTATGACAATATGAAATATTCACTTTATCAGTAATGAAAGAGAATTGCTCTTCTAAAGAACAAACTGTGAAGCTGAGTGTAAAGAGACTCCTATCTAATATACAGTAGAAAATTTCCTAAAAGTAAGGGAAATAAAATTCTGCCTTAAACACAGAAATTTTGAGTGTAACTCAGAGATGTGGTTAAAAATATAGAACATTTTAAGAAAGTGAAGCTAAAGATATAATAAAGAATTAAAATAGAAGAGAATCAGAAGAAATCAGGAACACTCTACAGAAGGCACTGGAGCCATTTTCTGAAGCTTGTATTACTGAGGTTTTCTTCCCTGAGATCTGGAGGGCATTCATTTTTAGGAAGAGGCAATAATCTAAAGACAAGCAATTGTAGCATTATGTAACATCAAAAGTTGGGAATATTCTTTGGTATAGCTGTCTCAGCAGTTCAATCATTCTAAACAAAATGTTATTACATAAAAAAATGCTTTGACTCTTTTCTATATGCTTATCTTTTCCATAGGCTTTTAATAGTTTTTTTCCATCATGGCACTTCTACAAAAGCAAGGAGCTTTTGTACAGTACACAACTAAAAACAATCATAATTTCAAATTTCACAAAAATATGAATTTAAAAGTATATAGTTGAATGTCAGCTTCTAATGGGGATAAAAGGCTCATCTTGGGTCAATAAAGAAAACCAAAGAAGGGTGGAAAAATTAGTAAGATTTAAATTCCTCCAATATTTTTCTGATAGATCAGACCAATATGGGATCTGTTCTCAGGCTGAATTTTATCAGATAAATGAGTAACAAATAAAAATAAAAAGAATGTACTCATCCACTGGGGAGCCTCTGAAACCTAAAAGAACCATTCACAGCAACTACATAAAATAACCCTTTACTGCCAAAGTTTCAGTCAGGATTATATGAAACAAAAGAAATTTAGAGAAAGCCGTCTATTCAGTAGAGCACTTATGTGCTTGAGGTATCCTTAACACCTATAGTTTCTAGCCTTATCTAGTTTTCATATACTATCATATTTTGTAATGATTTAAGCTCCCTCTCCAACATGAATTTGCAGAACAGAAAATCATTAATGCAATTGTGTCTCTTGTGCTGTCCCATATGTGAGGTATGTTCGCAGCATATTTCTCTGAGATCAGCTGAAAAACCCATGAAACATTTCCACCTTTCAGGCAGCATGAAGAGCTGATCTTACCAGATTTACATTTTGTAAATGTAAATTTAAATGCAAATGTAAATCTGATCTATTTTGTCTGAACTACTGGAAAACACTCACTTTCCATACCTCCTGTTGATGCTGGAGCCATGGACCATCAAAACCACAGTGGCAATGGGTGCTTGACTTAATATTGTAATGACTCAGGAGCTTTGCTGGAAAGGTGGGGAATTGTGGTTCCAGTCATTGTTCTCTTCGGCGCTTCTGGGTTTTATCCAGAGATGATCTGAAGCGAAGCGCACAAACAGTTCTGGGCGCGTGGCCCAGGAGTCAAACTTTTCCAAAAGCAGAATTCTCTCAGCACGATGACACAAAGCCAGTCTGTTCTCCTCAAGTACTCCTGTCTGTAGCATACCTCAGCATCACCCACAGTGAGGATTACTTGCTACACAAAATGTTGGGGGATCAATGCTTGGCTCAATCTGGGCTTGGAAAACAGGTCTCCTGCTTTCTGGGCAAGTGCTTTGTCAGACCAGTATATAAAAATAATTAATTAGATACTGCAATCTGATCACCTAAATTCTGTAAGTAGTCTCACACTGTGAAATATAGTTTGCTAGGCTGTCAAAGTTCATACATGAGGTGAGTTTTGGGTACACCTATTCTGAGATTTGAGGGGGGCTGCTGACACCACATACTAAAACACAAGAGGCTTATTTCTTCATGTGTAGGAATTATGCCCCTCATTCATGGCAGGCAGCAGAAGGAAAAATAACATACCCAGGGATACTACTCGTTTCAGGAATTTCTGCATATCACTATAATGACCCAGTTATAAGTTTCATGCCTTAACAATATCACCTTACAAAACCATATGTGCCATTTTCACTAGCTTTCCATCAAAAAAAAAATCATGGATATAACAATAAAATTGTACTTAGGAAAGCAGAAAAAACACTGAAAAAAAATGAAAATTAATCTTTTTTTGAATCAATGTCAGCCACAGAAGATATTATATAGCTAGGTTTTACCATACTTCAAATGCAAATTGACGTGTCATGGTGAGCAAAGTAACTGCACAGGTTCGTCTCTGTGTTGAACTATGTCATCATTCACTACTGTGCATCTCTAATGAGAAAAATTATTAAATGTTATTTGATAATGTCAGCCAGACATTTCCTTTTACATTTTACCTTTTACCTTCCCTTTTACCAGACTTTTCAACCATTTCTCTCATACTCTGTTTTCCACTTGCACACAGCAAGTCTCTGACCCTAGGACAATCCTTTTTGCCTGTGGTTATGTGGATGCCACACCTAAGAGAAAGAAACATTAAAAAAATTTCCTGGATCCATAACAACAATTCTCTTTTGAGAATGCCTGGAAATGGTAATTAAGAATAGGCCAGAAAAGAATCTGTCATCGTAACAAGTTTGAATTTCACTGTTTCAAATAAAAAAACCTGCTGGAGACTACAATCAAATCCTTCCAGTAACACAAAAAGAAAGAACGATTAAATGCTCCTTGTTGAGAAAAAAATAAAGGATATAATGAAAGCCATGGCCCAAACTAAACTGAAGGAAAACAGGGTCCAGGAATTAATTAGTGAAGCTATTTGTATTCATTTGTCAGAAGGAGCTGACAAGCAGCCAGTGGACAGGAAGAAACTGAGGAGGCTTCAAAACAATCATTGATTGTGTGAACCTGAAAGAAAATAAGGCAGAGCAGGACAAGGAGTTTCCTTGGTAAAGCACCAGATAAGTTAAGCTGAGAAAGCAAATCAAAGGAATTCTCATAGGTCTTTGTCTTACTGTGTTCTAGACAACAGAATTTTGCATATGGACTTGGCAAGGCATCAGATGAAAGAAACAAATAATTCTGATGTAAATTTATGCCACATATTGCCCAGTTCCTTAAGCCAAGTAAATGACACTGTAATGTAGTTCTTCTGAGGATTTATATTACATTCCCTCTCCTGATTCTTTAAGCCAGTGTGATTGTCCAGTCTCCAAGTAATTTTCTGACAAGTGTGAAATCATGCATGTGTCCATCCCCTGTTGTTCCATAGCTGAAGAAAAAAGTGGAGCCACAACACCCTTCTCATCTCCTCTGCTTCAGCTGGGTAGTCCTTTAAAGATTGTTGTGTCTTTAACTTACCCTATGATATCTCTAAAACATATTGTCCAAAATGCATATTGATTAAATTGAAACACTGTGAATTATATAGCAAATGTTGCAGAGGAGGACTTGGAAGAGAGGATGAGTGAGTGTGGCAAGAATAGAACTCTGCATTCCAGTCATGATTCTTTCTATAATAAAACTAAAAAAATAGATGTTGCAGAAGCATAAACCACTGCCCTTGCATAAGCTATTGTAAAAAGCAGAATAAATTTTAATAAAGTTTAATGCATTTTTAATAAAGTTTAAGTTAATTTTGGGAAAAGTGTAAGTTTTTTGTAAAATTTGACTCCAGTGTTGGTTCTTCTGGGTTGTGGCTCATCATACCATTTCTATTTCTTAATGTTATTGTCAAAGTTATTAAATTGATAAATTTAGTCTGTGGGCCTGTACTAGTGGGGATACCATAGTGCAATACAGTGATGGAAGATAGGAAGAAAATAAGCAAGCCTGTGGAAGAAAATAAACATTCCAGCTGGTACTTTGGCTGTTTGTTATGTGACCATGGTATGATGATCCCATTTGCTACTTCACTGGCAATTAGAAATTTGTTATCAAAGACAAAGACAAGTCCACACCACGAAAAATGTGATTGTTTGCTTCTCATCTGAGATGATAGACAGTTGATTTTATTAAGCTGTTTGTGCTTTTCACCCAACAACAAATTAAAACAGAATTTGGTTTTAATAATTATAGGTTCCTGCAGATCACTCATCTTGGTATGCTGCAAAAACTGTCCTTTGAAGGTAAGGTAGTAAAATTTCCTGCTCAGCAAGATTTCAGGCAATAATTATTCCAACTTGTTCTTACTTGTGGTCAGGAGGGAACTCATCAAAATTAAATCTGAAGATTTATGTGCTGATTACACTTTCAGCCAAAGTAGTGGGCTTATAAATCCTCTTTCTTTCCCTATACAAAAGGAACTTTCTCCATTCAAACTAAAGTACTTGTAATCAAATCTCAACTGATACAAATTCTTTTTATACCATGAACTTTCACTAATTTTTGGCCACAAGTTAGAGTTTCTTGTTGTTGAACTGAATTGCTGTTGAAGTCAGTTTATTCCATTGTTTAATTAGATACAGCTCAACAAATATTTTATGGTGGCTTTTTGTTTGCTTGTTTGTTTGTTTTAAATCTCTGCCTATCTGATTAAATTCTAAATCATTGTACCAGCCAAAATTGAAGAACACTTTCCCTGGGGTACCACTGCTTTTCTTCAGACATCCTCATATAAGTCATTTCCTCTAAGACAAATATGATATACCAGTCTCCATGCATTGAAAGTAAGAATCCAGTGAATTTGTTCTTTCCCATGGGAAATAAATGTCTTTGTCTCATGAGTTCCCCATGAGACAAAGACATATATGTCATTTAGAGATTGAATATCTCTTGGTGGAATTTACATCTCAGTGACAGACTATTCAAGCAGGATCCAGCTGTGCCACATGAGCATAGAATGCTATTTTAGACCTCCAGAAGTGTCATATCCAGCAACCAGCTCCACTGCAGACTGGCACAATCCTCTCCTCTACCCCTCTGTTGCCAATTCCAGCTCCATCTCCCTTGCAGCAGCACTGGCGGCTATAATAGGGCATCCAGTCTGCCTAATCTGAGAACCTAATTTATGTTTTAATCTAGACAGTAAATACCTATGTTTCCTGTGCAAGCAGTAGAGGTAGATAGATAGATCCCTTGAGGGAGAGTACTACTGCTGTATAGCTCATCATAAGCACCCAAGTTACAGGGGTTGAACTCTAGCCTAGGTTTATAAAATAAGACTATTCTTTCACTTTAGGAAATTGAGAAGTAGAGGGAGGCAGCAATATGTTTTGGAAAAAAATGTCAGAAATTCAAAACATTTATGTGAAAACCAGAAGTTGTTGGCTTTTTCTCACATGGGGGAATAGATCCTCCAATAGTGACCTCAGACTGTTAAAGATGTTATAAAAGATAGAATGCATCAAAGGTGAGCTTCTGTTATAGGCATTTGAGGGATACATTTTCCCCAAAATTTCACAAAGTGTGAGGAAGAAGAGCATGTCCAATATTTATTTAATTCTCATTCTGGCCACATGAGTATCAAATGAAATATTTAAACAACAGAGAGAACTAAAATGTCTTTATGTGTGTATACATATATAATACATAATTTCACTTCAATTTTATGGTTGCATGTGACCCTTATTTTCTGCCAGTTATTCAGTGATTCAGCTGTGGCACTGAGTGACATGATAGCACATCACAAAATTTCTATACCCTAATTTTATAACTCCATAGCAATGACATTTAATCTGTTCTATTTCCAAAAACTGAGAGAGTAAACACCCAAGGAGAAGTAGCCTCATCTGATTAAGGTGTGTTATTTCTGCTAGCGAGAACTCAAAAATCAGCCCTTAATTGAAAAAACAGACACAAAAATTTTTAAATAACCCTACAAAAAAACCCATACTGTATGAAATTTGAATATACTAGAACCTAAATACATGGCTCTGAACCCAGACACTCAGATTTAGAAAGATACTTGTTTCTCTTTGCTGGCCAAAACTCTAATGCCTCTTCAGTGCAAACAATTTTTAAAATGTATTCTACATTTTTAAGTGGAAAAGCATAATGCTTCTTCCCTCTGTTCCCAAGCTATCCCATACCAAATGAACAGTTCATTTTTCCTAAAACATTGTTTAAAATTTAAAAAAGTACAAGTCCTATTTTTATAGTGAAAAAACCCCAAGCCTTATATGTCAAAATAGTCTTCCCAGCAATATTTCTAAGATCTTTGAGACTGACTAGATGGTCGTGATTTTTTTTGCAATTTGCTACATTTTTCCTACAAAAGATCAGTGATCAAAAAGTATTACATTGACCCATACATACTGACTCATTGTCAAAATCTTGGTATTTGTTTAAAGCTTATAAAACATAATTTAGAAAATATCTTCATTCAGATACACTTATGCATTTAGCAGAGCCTATTTGGCATTATTTCACACTGTGCCTCAAGCTGTTATCTGATAAAACCCATAGGTGTCATCATTATCATTTAACCAGCTGAGACAAACAAAATTTCAGTGTGGTTTACCCAGGGTGCCACAAACAGACCTTGGGCACATCACAGCTCTGAATCATGCTCCACCAATGATATCTCAGGGATATCACTGCTCTGTCCTCTGCTTGAACAAATGAAAATGACGTTGACATTTTCAACTGGTAGAAATGTACACATGGAGACATATTTTTGGACTTATTTTGTGAGTATGTGCTTTGCTGCTTGGACTGCTTCTCAATGATCAGAGAGTCTCTTTACAGAGAGCAGATTCTCTATTTCACTTGCTGTTCCCAGCACTAAGTTCTAAAGAAGTTTGCTGAACTCATGCATACTAATAAATTTCCAAATATAAAATACTACTATTAGAAACAAATAAGTCATGAAAAAAGAACAGATCAAAACAAAAAATCCAGAAATGCTGAGTTTATGCAGTGAAGGTTATATTCAAAAATCCACTGTTCCTAGGGGTTGAGATTTTGTTCCATAAATGATTGCAATTGCATCCTTGATTTCTTATATCCTTTAAAGGTTGATAGAAATAAAGCTATTAAATATTTTAATATTCTAATATTAATAATATTAATATTAATAATATTATTTAATTTTTTTAATAAAATATGTCTAACCAGATGTTATAACTACAGAGCTGACAGGGAAAATATTTAGAAGACTTGCTTTAACTCACTTTAAACCAATTAACTGCTGCAACACAACCAGTTTTATGGACTCGACCACAAATTAAGTCTAATGTATACAGTATTTTTAATAGCTTTTTACTAAAGATGTGTCAATTTCTTCCTTTTTTTAAATTACTGAGTATAGGTTTCTTTTGCATTTGGAAAAACAGCTCTTATGTGTTCAAAACTCACTTTTGACAAAATATAATATTCGGAAAAAATATGGTGCTCTCTTGTTCTCTCCTCAACAGATGCCTTATTTTTGTGATTGCAGTTATTCTACTCCTTATTTAGCTTAGTTTCCAATGATGGGCTCATGGCAATGCTATTTTTCACTGCAGGACTCAGTTTTTGTGGTGGCTGTAATTGGTACAGACACTTGGCATCTTTTCAGATCAGTGTGCTTGGAGAAGCAGCACTAATACTTTACACATCCAGAAAAATTAAGTGTTAAAAGGGGAAAAAAAAAACCCAAACCCACCAAGCACAAGTTACAGAACCAATGGAAGTAGATGCCTAGTTTAATAAGTTCTCTTTATCTGCTGGGCCCACAGAATTCTCAGTGGCTGTATGAGACTGCTATGGATGCTCCAAAACTGCAATCATCCAATTAATCCATTTCCTCCACCCCATCTGAGCTGCAGAGATCCCTCTAGGGCATGTGGGACCCTGCAAGCCCAGATGTGTGAAGCCAGGCAGGCTTTATGAGGTGTGCACTAGACACCTGCAAGGCAATCATGAGTCAGAAGACAGAGATTTATCGATATGAGAAATTCCAAGGTGCCTTACTCTGGCACAGACATTGCCAAAGGTTGTAAGAGCTCTTCCATATCTAAATGCTGTCTACACATTTCCTGGTATTTTAAAATGCATTTTGGAATGACCTTCAACTGGCCAACTCTGTGTTCTTCAATTTGAAGACAGACCAGTGCAGAAGGCATCAAAAAAGTGAACTCTATAAATTATTCCCTGCCCAACTCCTGGTGGAGTGTAAGAAATGAGAGCTGAAATGCAGTGTCAAGACAGAAATCTTTCAATCTAGGAAATGGCCAAATTGATAGCCCAAAAGAAAGAGAAACAGGAAATTCTGAACAGAGGTATAATTCAATCTTATTTTTCATATATGTGAGAATCTTCAAAAGTGGGGATAACTACTGCTCTGAAAAGACTGCCTTCTGCAGGGAACCAAAATACATTAATCATTAGTAAGAATGAAACCATGACATTTTTGATTTGCTGGTGAAAAGGCAAAGATGGGTCAGTACTTATGTAGCTGATGCTGATATTTGAGTGCAGTAAATGAATTGCAGCTGGAAGCCTTATTGTTAATATTTACTAGCCTGTGCCAGGAAAATAAAATACCATTTATTCCTAATCCTATCCCTGTGTATCTTCAGTGCAAATGATATAGGGCTTTCACCCTGGAGTCTCCCCAGCCACTCTCTGCACATCATGTCACCACATTTTTTTGCCTGCTTGCCTGTGCCTGCCTCCATTGAAAGGTAAGGCAGGATCCTGGCTGGAAGGGGGATGGGGTGTGGTCCCTTAGGTGCCCCAGCCTGGCAGATCTTGGAATTGCTGGAGTGTAGCTTCCCATGCCAGCAATCTTCATCTGTGGGAAGACACAAGCATGGATTTTAGAGTGCCAGCCCCTTCCAGGGCATCTCAGTCACTCTCTTTCATTGACATTTCCTGCCAGGTTTGGCACTGCTCATCTGCAGAAAATTTGGCCAAGGCTTCTGAATAGCTCACTATGACCTGGTGCTGCCTATTCATAATTTTATCTTCTATATGCCCAGAAATAAAAACAATGATGATTACTATGTAGTTTGTTGGGGTTTTTTCCAGCATCTCCCTTCTTGAACAAATGCACCACAAGATCTTTTCTGCAGTCTTGCGTAACTTCAGCCTCTTTTCACAGTTTATCAGACAAAATAATTAATACCTCCACAGCCACGGGTCTCACCTGGTGAAAGAATGCAAATATGGAAACTCCTAATGTGATAAGGAACATTCAGCATAGATTTATCATAAAAAATGTCATTATAAATAATCCCTCAGAATAAGCACACCATCTGCTTTTCTGTGCCCTGCCAACTTTCATAGCTCTGATGGGAGAGGCTGCCAAGACAAATCTTGGCAGGTTTCACTGATACCTGGTAGAGTGCTAGCCAACAGAGTTTGTCAGCTCAATCAAATTTCTTTCTTTGACAGCATAAGTGGCTTATAGGCAGGAAGCAGTACATATGGTATGTCTGGCTTTAATAAGCTTGTGGTAGTGCCTCACATGACATCCTCATACACAAACAATGGAAATACAGTCTAGTGTTTGTTCATGAACAACATTTAGGGACATGACTGTCACTAGACTACAAGCCCAAGCAAAAAATGCAAGTATTTGGGTTGCACAAAATTATTGGTCTGTAAGTAGTCTCTCACAACCAGAATAATTTTGTACATCACTAGACAAAATAAGTCAGTATAGAATAGGTAAATAAGCAGTTGAAATCTACACTGAAAAAGTAGTTACCAAGGGCTCACTATTAAACCAAAAACAATAAGCAAGACGGGTTCAAAACAGGTTTTACTTATCTAAGTCAAATCTTTTCATTATACAAAATATTATCATTTATTAAATAAATATAATTAAAATATAGTGTGTGTTTAGTTATAATTACATAGTTATTCATTATATTGTGTATCATATTATGTATGTTATCAATAATATGCAGTATTTACATGAGTGACTTAAATAAGAAGACAATTCATTTAGGAGCAATAGAATTGCAAATAAAGTACATAAGGATCATTAACAAGTGCCATACGTAAGACAGATGAGGCAATTATACATCTCTAGGCTTTGAATCTTTGCATTCAAAATTTTCATTCAATTACTCATTTGCATGCATTGTAGTAATCTTCCAAAAAGTGGCAAACACTATGCTAGTTTGAATCAGCAGCCCCTTAGCCAAATTTATTTATACCTTAAAATCTATATAAAGCTACGATAAGGAAAAGCAGTTAAAAAAAAGGGGGGCGTGGGGGGAATAGAGGAGGGTATAAATTGCCTTAACATTTTCTCTCATTGTTTTTCTTTATTAGAAGAAAAAAATAGCATGCTGACTGTGTAGAATACCTCTAAACTGTAGTGTGCCTATTTGTTCTTTATTCATGTGCATATTTCACTAAATGATCTTTAATGCCTTAGACTTTTTCAATGTAGGAAATAAGTATTCATGCGAGTAGACAGATGGATTTTAATTTTAAGTATTAAAAAAATCAACTTTATTTTCCTAGAGATTATCAGTCTTTTCCATGGAACTCATAATTCAACTGAGGCATTGTTCACCTGGCGGATGTTTACAAATCTTACTTCCTCAGGTCCCTTCTTTCAGTAGTCTTTGGACATCTGCCACAAATTCTCTTTCATGGGAGCCTGATCTGGCACTGCTTTCTCATCTTCGTATCAATTTTCTGCAAGCAGAGGTGCTTCCCCAAGTCCCATTCATGCCATCATTCCACTTATGAGCCATCTGCAAACAATGAGGCAATTCAGAGAGAGCTGGATCTGGACACCTGACTGTGCTAAACATTTCCACTTACCTAGCAAGCAAGTCACAACAATTCAACTGATGAACACACAGCTTGAGTTTTATTCAGTCATCAATGATGGCTACATCACTGATATTCTTGCATTTCTTATATCACTAACATCATAAAATGAACAGGACACTGAAAAATTAACAAGATTGTGGCAGAAATTAGGCCCAGGTTTTGAGAAATCTGTAGAATAAATACTCTATCTGCCTAATCTGTGATGTCCTTTTAATTGTTCCAGAAATTTTTGCTCAAAAGTTTATCAGGAAAAATTTATGAGGAAAGGATTGTGTTCATCCAATATCTACCAGAAAAATCCATTTACTGGAAAAGATGAATAGATAATCTCCTACATTGTACTTTCTGCTTTCAATCATACATTTCTTCACTATATTTTTTGGCAGTTTGTATCACAAGTCCACAAATTATCCCAAATACCTAATAAAGATCAGTTATATTCTGAAAATAAAACACCCTCCACTTATCAAATCCAATGAGTAATTGGATTTTTTTGATTACTCCAAAAGTAAATTTGTTAATGATAAGGAAAAATATGAGTATCCTTCGTATGAGTGCAGGCATTCCTCTTTGAAAAGTACATCCAGGAAAGTAAGTTTTAAAGCTCCTCTATGGATATAGCTTTATAAACCATTGAAATGGTTGGCATGCCAGGAAGAGGTCAAATGTTACAAGGCTAAGCATAAAAACTAACAAGAGAGTTTCAGAGTTCATTAAAAGTCAATCCTGCCCTTGTACATGGGATCAGATATTTGCTTTCTTTTTGTTTTATTGAATGAGAAAATGCATTTCTTATAACCATAACAATTATTTTTAACATGATTTAAAGTATCAAGCACTTCCACATATGAGTTGATGCTAAATAAAGATGAGGCACAAAATAAAGCTGTTTCTGTTTTTCCTTCATATGTTTCCTGTCTCCCCAGGCCTGTCCCTCCTGTTTTAGCAGTGCTGATGTTACCAGCCCCCGGGCAGAGCAAAGCAATCCTTGGCAAACAGTATCTAGATCAAATTCTTCCCTTGATTTCATATTCTGGGGCTGGCAGCTGAAGAGTCTGGACTGGCTCCTTATAGAAAAACAAGGTCTCTCAGGACCCTCTTTAGCATGTGTTCTAATGTCAAAGAGGCTACCATCTCTGTCAAGAAATAATGCAGTTAGGTCACAGCATCCCTTCTACTCTTTTTGTCTGGCTGTGGTACAAGTGGCAAAAGGGCACAAAAAAGTCAATTTAAGCAAAACTGCTGATATACACTGAGTGAAGGCTCCAACAAATAATATAGAAAACACATCATTAAAGAGAGCTTCTGGGGGAAGAAAATAAAAAGGTAGAGAACCCACCAAAGTAAAAAAATCTGAGTTCTGAAAATAGGGAGAGTTAAGCAAACATATTTTAAAGGCTTAGCATGGTAAGAACACCCCCTTGATGAAGAAAGGACCCAGATGCAGAAGATAAAAGAATAGGCAGAATATTTCTCTGATAGGTTTGTCATTTGTTTGTTTGCTTGATTGTTTTTTACAGATAAATGATCAGGGACCTTGTCTGTGAAAGAGAACACAACTTTACACTATTCTAAATATTTTCCCAGGAATATTTCCACCATTTTGACTAATGATCATTCAACACATGTACACAGATAACTTGGCATATATCATCAACATGCCTGAGAATTGAAAGAATGCTGTCTGGTTTAGGCAGAACTACATGAGTTTCAATGATCTGCAGAGTAAATTTAAGGGTTATGCTTCTCCTGTTTCTTCTTGTCTATACAAAATTTTAGACTGCTTTGAAAGCTCTGAAACATCTCCTGTATGTTGCCCAACTCAGCTGTTAATTACTGGATGCTCTGCATCCAGAGAGGCTTTCTGAAAATCCCATGGCTAGTGGCTGAAGGTGTCTCTACTAATTGTGGTGGGGTGAATGAGATTAATTTTAAATGACACTTCAAACCCAAACTATTCTATGATTCTATGTTTCTCCAAGTTTATACCCAAGAGAACCAATACTTGTACAACTAGAATGGAAAATTCCTGTCCAGAAAGATCATGTCCAGATCATGTCCAGAACAACCTAGCATGTTTTAAGACAAAAGCACTTTGAACACTGATTGTCTTTCTCTTCCTGCCTTCCCAACATCAAAGTATTATTTACCTTATATAAATAAGAGAGAGAAGAGAGAGAGTATGAGATTTCAAGTGCACTTATATGTGTGGGCATGCACATACTTTTCCTTCTAGTGAGGGAATTCCTCATACAATCATATACTCATAGAATGGCCTGGGTTGGAAGGGACCTTAAAGATCACCAAGGTTCAACCCCCCTGTTGAATGGGGGCAGCAGGGGGCAGGGACACCTTCCATTAGACCAGGCTGCTCAGAGCCCAATCCAACCTGCCCTTGAACATTTCCAGATTTGGGCCATACACAACATCCCTGGGAAACCTGTTCCTGTGCCTCACTATCTCACAATAAAGAATTTTTTCCTAACATCTGATCTAAAACTGCTCTCATTCAGTTTGAAGCCATACCCCCCTTGTCCCATCACTGCATACAAAGTCACTCTCTCCAACTTTTTTCTTCAGGTACGAGAAGGTCACAATTAGGTAACCCTGAAGCATTTTCCAGGCTGAACAAATCCACTTCTCCCAGACTTTCCTCATAGGAGAGGTGCTCCATCTCTCCAATTTACTTGGTGGATCTCCTCTAGATGGGCTCCAACAGGTCCTTTCTGTCCTGAGGACCCCAGTGCTGGATGCAGCAGTGCAGGTGTGGTCTCACAGACCAGAGGAGAGGGGCAGGACCACCTCCCTGGCCTTGCTGCCCACCCTGCTTTGGAGGATGCAATTGGCTTTCAGGGCTGTAAGCACATTGCTGGGTCAGGTCCAGCCTCTCTTCCAGCAGCACCCCCAAGTTCTTCTCAGCAGATCTGCCCTGGATCTGTTCATCCCCCAGACTGGACTGACACCAGGGACTGCCCTGACCCAGGTGCAGCAGCTCACACTTGGTCTTGTTGAGCCACATGAGATTCCCACAGGCCCAGTTCTTGTGCTTGTCCAGGTCTGGATGCCATCCTGTCCTTCAGGTGTGTCAACCACATCATTCAGCTTGGTGTCATGTGCAAATGTGCTGAGGGTGCTCTGGATCCCTTTGTTTCTGTCATTAATGAAGACATTAATT